ACAGTGATTGCTCTATCATGCATTAGAAGCAAATATGCACTTATAATTATGTTATATAACAATTAAAAACATTAGGGAGTGTGTGTTAGGAGGAGCGTAATGAAGAAATATTTCTTAAATGTTTCTTGGACAATTTAACAAGTGATGGTGATGCATTCCATTGTACAAGAAGTCCTTAAAGCCCTGGAAGATTAATAACAAGGGAGACAGAAACAACGTGATTTAACACAAGAAGGGTTCACCAGCTGAAAATGGAATCATACCTTCATCTGGCCAAACACGAGACACAATATGAAATGAAAATAATAAAAGAATTGTGAACTAGTAAGTCCATACTCTGATTACTTCTAGTTATAAAGGCCAAAGTACACATGAACATAGTGATGCATTTATCAGGATAATTATCTTTTATTTATTATTAAATTACTGTTAGGGTAACAGAATTTTTATATCAGCAAGGAGGGTAGAAAACCAAAATAGGCAATGGTCCAAGAATTATGGTTAAGGGCAACAAAAATACTAGCATGCAGTTGGGATCACTAAAGGATTTTAAGAAAACATTTCCATCCCAGAACTTTTCAAATCAAATAAGCCTTCAGAAAGCTTATAAAGCAGCAATTTGATTACTTTGAATACAACTACATGTAAAAGCCTTGCAACAGAACAGCTCATTTCAAATCCTTAAACTGAATCATGCAAAACATCCCCTGGCTCCTGAACCGTATGAACAAGCACATTGGTAGTACATGTACATGTTGTCTTTCCGTACAAGCTAGCATATTCCAACTACACAAGAAAAGATGATTTACCTTCCTCAAGGGAGTTACTGGCAGACGTCCTTGTGTCATCACTGCCATCTGGGAGCTTTTTGTGCTGTTGGATGAAATGAGACAAAAGTTGATGTGAAAAAAAACATCATGGTCTTAGCTCAGTATAAAGGCAGTGACAATCATCTTGAGTACAAAATCAACTGCCTTACAAATTATTCAATACAACTAACTAGCCATCTAACTGGGCTCCACATTTATTTTGGGTGGCATAGTGCATTCGACTATGAAACGGCGAGACTATGAAACGGTGAGACCCAGGTTCGATCCCGAGTTGTACCCGGCACATGTCTGGACATGTCTCGACATTGTACCCTTGGGAAAGGCACTTTACATGACTTTCCTCACTCAACCCAGGTGTGTATGGGTACCTAACTTTGGTTGGGGAAAGTCGTATTGAGGTCACCTGGTGGCGCTGAATGGCAGCCGCACAGACCACAAAAGTGTGTGTGGAGCAAATATTTTACATGTATCATGTGTATTATGTGCTTGTAAACCCTGCACCAATTCAGCGCTATTTGACCAATAAGCCATTTAAAACTTCACCCACCTTAATGATGATTTTCCTCTTGAGTTGATTGGGGGAGGGCAGCTCCATGGCAGTGAGATCCACAGGCTGGGTCAGGAGCATTTCTGAATTGAATTAAGAATTTTAGTAAATACACAAATGATATAATTCATTGACAAATCAAATTATGACATTTTTTAGGCTTAACACATGACAATATCTCTCAATGTCAGGCTGCTTGAGGAAACCCTTTAAAAACTTTTGAAATAAAAATAATTTTGCAGGCTTCTAGTTGTACAAGCTCTGTTGAAAGATAACCTTAGATCTATAACAATTCAAACAAACCCCTTTTTTCTCTTCACTGAAAGTTGAAAAATTTTACACATTTACGTATACTGACCTCCAAAAGTTTCCTTCAGGAGAGTGGCCATGGTTCTCTGCTGGGCTATATTGCAGTGGTTTTCTATGGACAGGATGACTGCATATCTGCAACAGAAATTGTGCAATGTAGACTTGAAAATTGTCAATGCCCAGCGTGTGTTTTAACTAAAATAAGTGAAACTCTTACACATGACATATGGTATCAATCAGCTTAGCTTTAGACCTTATCCATGGAAAATATCTTAGAACTAGATATGCAACTATGAGACAGCAATCATGTATGTACAGATATTTCTGTACTAGAGTAGCAGTTTCCACATCATATATTTTTAACAGAAGTTTGCTCTTGCATGGACGCTATAAGGGGGCCTGAATGCCCTTTTTCATAAGGCGTAATCAGGCCTTTTTAGTCTTCGTAATCCGTAGGCAGCCTTCTCAAAAATCAATGTCATTTGTAAAGGTACATTGGCCGCAAAGCGTTATGTCGTAATCAGCTCTGAGACTTAAATGTAATTCGTAATTGGCGGCGAAAATTTTTCGTAATCCGTAATCACTACCCCCCATGCAGGCCCTCCTATAACAAAGTATTACTGTTGGCTACCCTTTGCCTTTTGCTACAGCTGCACGAAAAGGCTTATTAAACACATGAAAGGTTTACTAACTCTGAGACGTCAAACGCGTGATCCCGTACAGCCCTGATGACGTCCAGGAACTTGATCTTGCTGGTGAGGGTGTGGCCGTGGTAGATCACAGGGATACCATCAGGACCATCCCAACAGTCCACTACAAATAGAACAAAACAACAACATCAGAAAACATTTCTTGACTGCATGCTGTACCCTGAAAATCATCAGTAATGGTTACCCCAATATTATACTCGTCATGTGACTCTCTCTGTGGCATACTTACATTCCACACATCTGCATCCCTTGCGCAAGACCTGAACGTAGGACTCCACAGAGGAATCACTGCTGAACTGGTCACCAGTTAGATACCTGCACAGAAGAGATGCGAGTGCTTTTGAAAAAAAAGCTGGCATTACAAGATGTGCCCATGACAGTAAGATAATATAAGGGTGTTCGATCTTAATGCTTGATAGTAATCTAAAATTGTGCTGTTACATGTCACTTGTACATGATGGCTCCAAGGCTCAATTTAATCTTGGAATCTGCCTGGGCTCAAGTCATGCAAAAACAAATCTTTCATCAGATGTCAGTGTTAGAAATACCCATCTGCAGTCTGCATTTTGCAAAGACATTTTCAATAATGCAGAGAAAAATTAAGCAACCTGCAATTTTGCAGACTGAAAAAAATCAGGCTAGTGGTTCAATGGTGTTTGTAGCTTTTGTGTTTACTACTAACTCTTTAAGTTTAATATACAGTCAAGTAGTTTTGTATGTAAAATGTTTGCAAACATGTGACTTTGTATATGCCATGGGTTTAGATCTGGACTTTTAAGTGTGTATTTGCAGAAAGTATTTCTGAATTGCAGAGCTAAATTTTAAAATTCTTCAATATTGCAGCACACTGAAAAAAAGTATTTCTACCACTGGATACTTTATATATGTCAATAAACTGGCCTATGAATATGAAGTGACATTTTTTTTTCAGTCATGCAACTTTTAATTAAAGCCCTTAGTTCCATGCTACATAGGAACATGTCAGGTGCCACAGACGTACGTGTTGTGGGAGGAGGCTATCCAGTAGTTGGAGAAGGGCAGGTCCATGTTCATGTGAACCTCCTTCTCCTTGGCTTCGTTGAAGATGGAGTTCTCCCGGGAAAACAAATATTCTAGGAACTAGAAGAAACAAAAAAATCATTCAGCAGAAGCAAGGCAAGTTGAAACAGTGATTGTAATGGTGATATAGAATTCTTCCATGTAGCTATCAGAATTCACATGTATCATTCTAATGATATATACTTTGATGACAGATTATCAAAAGATTAATTTGACTCCTAGGCCCTAGCTAAAATATTCAACATAACTTCACAAAAGAAATAGAAAAAGAACATAGTAAATACTAGAAAGGTAACATTTGCAAAACAAATGCATAATGTTTACCTTCGCACATGGTCTGCTCTGTTAATTCTTACTCATACACATTCATATATATGGTCAAACAGGAGTCTAAATCCCTCCGAATATAAGATTGCAACATGATGTAACCCAACACCAGTTACCATGGTAACAGACATCTGGTTCAGGTCATTGACCAGGTCAGAGGTTAGTGTTTGGAGAAGAAGAAGAGGAAACTGAGCAAAAACAATTTGTTTTCCTTCGGTAAACATAAATATAGTAAATATTATTATACAAAGAGGCTCACCTCTTGTGCAGTGAAGTATGGCTCCACTGCCTGTCTCAGGGGATCATCTAAGTATCTCTTCACATACTCTTCCAACTGGAAGGGATTGAGAGCTGTACCTTCACTAGCTGCCTGTAAAGAGTATCAAAGAAGACATTGAGAGAGAAAAGTGCAAGAACAATCGGCAAAGACTAAGGTTCTCAGATACATGTGTACTCCCATTAATAGATTTAGAGTCAGGCCAATCTATCATATTTCACTGCATGAAATCTTATTTACAGTCTTATTCAATGCCCTAAGCTAGAGACAGTAAATCAGGAATATACGATATCATACATTATGGTTCTTACCCTTTGTTCTTCAGATACAAACTTCTGAAAAGCTGCCATGGTCACTGTTCCACTACCGTAGGAATAAAGAAATATGTTATGGTGGATATGATATGATGATGATTCTAGATCAAAACATTCTTACACATCAAACAATGTTCAAAATCAATTGAAATGAATACAAGTGACTATTGTCCATTGTGATATTTAAAAACTGGGCAAAATGATCAGCTTCCCTTGCAGATTTGTTCAACTATCCCAATGTATTTGGCTGAAATTTCTCTTATCACTAAATTGTAGAAATCTTTTTTCTATAATATTGATTCTCTCTACTTACACCTACTTTCTGTAGATTTCTTAATTTGGTTATCAATGTTGCTTTTTTCATTAATAGCTATATAAGAGATATGACTACAGAACAAAAAAGCTCCAAACCTATCACTAACACATCCTGAGACCTTGTCTTCGATCTGAAAAGAAAATTTAAAATGGCATTTCAAATGACAAAAACTGACAATAGCTATGCTCCACCAAAGTGGTGAATAAGTTTGTCATTACACTTGCTATTATGCTATTACATTATCAAACCATGAACAATCCACAAAATAGATCAGCTAAAATGACAAGGATATCCAAAATATACCTCTCTTCTGTGGATGAGATTGTAGTAGAGGGGTTTGAACTGTTCAAATGATATTTCAGATTTGTTCACAGTGTCCACTTTCTGCAAGGAACACAAAAAGAAAACTTGTTAATATCTATCATTGGGTGGGCCGGCTACTCTCTTATGACACCTTAGGCCCCATTCATGATTCAAAATCTGTTGCAAATTAATTCAAATTGTAAAAATATTTTGAATTATTTGGGAACATTCCGGTTCCGTTGCAATTTATTTTGATGCCTAAACTCTCTGCTTTATGAGCCGGGTTCCCAGGAAGTGTTCAAAGAAATTCTGGTTTACGTATCAAAAGCAAGTCAATTCTAGGTGTGAAACCGTTTCCTGTGTGGTTGCAAGTTTTGAATCACCAACGCAAAATATATTCCATATCAATTCGGATTGTACCAAAACACATTTTGAATTATGAACTGGGCCTAAAGCAGTACCAAAATATTGGCAATAAAATTGTGCAAAAGCAATTGACTACTTGAAGCTATTTCAAAGTCATTAACCTGGAATTCTTCCTTGAGCTCCTTCTTGTTGCTCACTTTTTGGTTGACCTTGGGAAGGAACGCCATGATGTCCTTCAAGGTCACTCTATAAAGATAAAAATTCACACCAACAAGTAAAAAAATGTTTCTGAGCCATGCAAGGAGGACATGAGATAATAATATACAGTCAAGTATAAAATGCGATTCATATATATTCAACTCATTAATTGTTACAGAATTTGCAGTCTGTCTTGTAACAGGGTAAGGCTATGCTATACCATAATAGTAGTAAGCACTAACTTACGTATTGCTCCTGTTTCTGTCCATGTCATAGAACTCCTTTCGTAGCCATCTGAAACAGAAAAACATTTTTGTCATACAGCCACATTCAAAAGAAATACCAGCAAAATCTTACCCATAACAAAAATGGTTGCGGCCAAGATTGCCCACCGTAGTCCTACTGTTTTCTGTGATATCATACATTCTGAAGTAAAAGCTCTATACCTTTCTGCTTGCAGCGGCCAGGGTGACTTCCTGGTGTCGTCTATTAGATATCGGATCCCTCGGACCCACAGGCTCTGTTCCTCTGGACTGATTGCTAGAAAATTAAAGACAAGCGACACTTAATCGCAAACTTGCTCATAAATCATTATAGGCATGGAGATTCAGGTATCAAATATATATGTCAATCATGATTGAAAGGTAAACCTTGATTTACTGTGTGTACATGTTATATGACTTTTCCATCTAGAAAGTAACACCTCTTTTTACTCTTGCTGCATGGAATAAGTCAAACCATCACAGAAAAGTTTAACTGGTGTTGAGTTACATCATGTTGCAATTTTATAGTAGGAGGGCTTTAGACTCGTGTCAGCATATAATTATGTGAATGTGTTTGAGTATGAATTAACAGAGCAAACCATATGCGAAAGTAAACATTTTGCATTTGCTTTGCAAATGTTAGTTTTCTAGTTAAGTTTTCTACTTACCAACAAGTGATAGAAACTTCATCCTGAAGTCTGTACCATAGCAGATCACAAAACACTGTGACTCTTTAAACTTCTTGGCTTCATCTACGAAACGCTCAAAGTCTCGAGACTGCTTACTGGAACGAATCTCCTTGACTTCCCTAAGGTCCACTGGAAAGACAAGATGGAGATGGGGGATTATTGAAGATGGTGTGGTTGTTACTTAGCTAAGGCCATGTTGATTTGATTATATGGATGACATCCGTGCGCGCATTAATTTTCGGCAGTTTCCAAAAAAAAAGTTTTCAACTATACTGTAAATTGTACAAAACAGTTGCAAAATGAGCAAATATATACCGTAAGTTGCAAAATATTTTGAAAATGATACCGATGTGCTAGAATGCAAAATCAAACCAAAAAGACGAAAATGTAAAGAAATGAATTTGAAAAGTACATGTATTCGCTAAACCATACTCTGTGTCATTTGGTCAATCTTAATAACCACGTAGATTTCATAATGAAAGAACTTTTTGGGGGCCAATTATTTTTTTATTCGCACACATGCATCAGTTTTGGGGTTTCCAGAGGATGTCATCCATATAATCAAATCAACATGGCCTAAATGTACAATGTACAGATATCCTCATTTATTGAATCAGCATGTACCAAATACAACTTCACATGCAAAAACATGCAAAGCTGTAATATGCTAATAAAAACACAAAGGCTGCATGCAATATGCAAATTTTTTTCAGTGAAACGGACATTGAGAGTACTAGAACACTAACAAAATAGCAATACAAGATGCTCTGTCCAGGAAAAATGCTTCCATTCCACAAATTTCAACAATATAGAGCATGCATGTAGCATGAGGACTGTAGAACAAAACAATTCATACCCAAGCCATCTTGATGCAAAGAAAAGAAATCAAAAGTTAATGCACACAAATTCAAAGTAATTCAAACTCAAAACTTCTACATCTTAAGATGTTTTTCTGTCAATAAGGCTGCACATTTGGAAGAGTTTTATAATACAGTAGTCTAAGTAGTGTTGAGTTCAATTACTGCTTATATCAAAATACAGTGTAAGTATTTTCAATGTCAATGTTAGAAAACCTATTGTACAATGTTTCATCACTCAGGTGTCAGATCAAAAGGTCAAATAGCTTGAAAAATTATGTCCCTTGCAGGGGTCCACCCCCAAAAAAGGCTACGGTCAGCAGGTTTTTCTAGGGTCGGTCTGGAAACAGGAAACACAATTTTTTTTCCTGGGCCCAAGCAAAATACTGTGTAGAATTCTATTGCAGAAATTTAAAAAGCAGACAAATTAAAGGAAAAACATTCTTGGTACTAGTAGTAATACTTAGACTTTTGCACTAAGTAATTCCCTGTCCTTGGAGCAGACGTCTAAACCAAATGTCATTCACCTAGTCTCCCCCCAAAGCCAAGACTTCAATAACAATTCTCGGAATCGAAGCAGAAGTTCTCCGAAACGCACATGACTTATGTAAACTTCTAGTGCAGCACATGCAACTGATCACACTATAAGTCTTCTCTTTTTTTCTTGCCACTTTTTCACCATGTTTAATATCCATTTGGTGAGCCTAGGATCTAACAATAATTGTAATCTTTAGGATTTTACAACTAAATATTATTAATCAAACTTTTAACCAAAGCTTGATGAATTGCGCCCAAAAAAACTTAGTTAGACTTCTTCAATTTTGACAAGAATGACACTTCGCAATTTTATTTCAGAACTAAATTGCCTTTTAGAATAATCTTCAATACGAATTTGATAAGAGCAAACAAGCAGCTGGGTTATGCATATCATGTGAGCCATCCTGCCGTAATGGTCCCCTGTGAGCATGTTTGAGGTTTGGGCTTTCCATACCGAGGACACACATAGCATTCTTCCCTAGACCTTAATGCTACCCCCACATTAATTGGGCTGACTGAGATTGGTCTGGACTTCTCTCTGTTGACATTCTACACCAATGCTTGTCTAAAGATTGGTGCCTTCCATTAATCTTGGCTCGCTAACAACCAGTATAAAATTTCCCCCATGGCCATATTTTCTGATGTTGAATTCAGAGAAAAAATCACACAGCTGGCTTCAACCATATAAAATGGCTGGTGATGGACTTAATGTAACGTTACATGCTACAACTGCTAATGTGTCAACACACACAGTCCAGAACAGACTTTTCCATTTATTCCGTGGTCTTTGATATAACAGTTACAGTTACATTTTGCCCTTTCGCTCTCGGACTACTGAGCTGTATGGTTTTGATAGTGTTTCAGGAGCATCCAATGTAATTTTATCGCTTGGGAATCTGAATTTTCAAAGTCAACATTCTAGTCACTTACTAGTAACTACATACTGAGTTGAAATCACACTATCCCAATGTATATTGACCCTCATGGAGCAAAAATTCTGACGGAAAATGGTTACTGGAAGGGCTCTTGGCTGATTTTTAGGCTACCGTTTCTGCAGTTTTAAATATCCAAAGTATGAAATACTGACTGGAATGTGCTAATCTGATGCAGTATGTGTCAATATCATATAAAGATTGCCTTATTCAGAATATTTCCAGTTTTGCTGCTCTGAAATCACATTGGTTCTGTGATTCCTTACTGGCTGCTTTTCTCACAGCTGGTACTGAACTGTGGAGACCTCAAGCAAGGTCACAAAATAAGGAAGACTGTTTCCTGTGGCAAATGTTTGGCAAGATACGATACATATACAAACATAACCAGCTGCCAATATGATTTATTCTTACTTCAGGGCTGGAAATACTGAGTGCATGTGCACCTTAGTGCACCAAAAATTGGAGCTGCAATTATTTTCTGTGGGTGCACCAGTGCACCCAAATATTTTCGTAGGTTTACCTATGTAAAGATGTTAAATGTATATTGTTGACATGATGACATCTGTCAACAAGTATCAGAAAAATAAGAAAAATCTTTGTTGTAGTATTTTTCTTTAGAAATGAAACATAATTAGTTTTTGCTGTTATTCTACTTACCGGTATTTTTTATTTATATGGTGCACCCAAACAATTTTTGTGCACCCAACCAGTGAACCTACCTATTCCCAGAAATGAATTTCGAGCCTTAAGTTCCTTATAGTTATAAAAGTACTAAAAAGAGAAATGTAAGCAATGACCATAAAACATTGGATCTGCATTTTATCTCTTAATCTCCATACGAACTAATAACAGCAGGTGGTTGACATATCCTGACAGATTTACTGACTTTACTTCCCTGTACATATTTGTAACAGATGGGGTCACTGCCCTGTCAGGTATTTTAATCCTCTAGGGATCTAGGTGGAGCCCTGGATATTGTCTCACCTTGCAGAAAGGTAACATTCAGTCAGGATTCTCTGTCTTTACTTCCTGTTGCAAGAATATTAATGTGTTTGTTGCTTATCAAATGGCTACAATAAAATTCTTATTACCTTTCTTTGCAGGCTAACTGGAAGACTACAATGAGATTTTATAAATATTTGTAACGATAAAGTCTTAATCATTGACAGCTTATCTACCTAATGCCTGCAGGGCACTAGAACCTGTTGTGCCAACCTTGGTAATCTGTACACGAACTGGATGCTAACTTCAGTGTTGACTGATCATGAGGTTCCACCACTTCCTGTTTGCAACAGCACCTGAGCAGCAGACAACTACCATGCTCTATCACCTATCACCTTCACATAAACGTACATGTACCAGTCAAGGCTCAAAGTACACACCTACCAGTGTGTCAAAAAAATAGATACTTTTTGTTTGGGACTTACCAAATCATGCTTTAGTACTGTAGAAAACAGAAAATAGGATTTTTGAGCAGATTTTACGACTCTTAATCTTACATATCATGATCAGTGTCAATATACGCAATTGCAACAACGATGCACATATAGTCCTTAATACTAGATCTCTGATATCAATGACAACTTAGGATTCTATGGCACAGTGCCACAGAGTGCATGTATACAAAGTGGAAACTGCTGACAGTAAAGGACAGTAAAGGACAGTAAGTAAAAAGAAGAACAATAAGAGGCATGGGTCTGGTAACTGTAACAGCCCATTTCTGCAATTTTAATGGTCAGTTTAAAAATACCTTGACGTCAATAGCCCAATTTGTGTCCATTTTCATACAAACAAAATCCTGGAGTGGTCACTCAAGGTTATTGCAGGAAACCTGAACATTTCCTTATCCTTGTAGAAGAACTAATCAACCTTCATATATTCAAAATCAATGGAGTTCAATCCTCAGTGAACTCTTACAAATGACTAACTTTATCTCTACTCCATTTCTAAACGCACTTTGCAGGCCCTTATTTTTATATTTATGGCAGGGGGGTACCACACCAGACTTGTGGTTTAAAAATGATATCTAATCAATCAAAATTGATAATATTGATAGTGCACAGCAAAACAATAGAGTCTGGACCATTCCAATCCATTCTAACAGGGGTGGTCGTTCAGTAGTTACTTCCAAACCCACAAGTCACTGGTGTTCAAACAAAACATATTTAGTACAACCGTTCAAGCACAATTTTGTACAGTAACTTTTAGAGAGTTGTTTAATAAAAAAGTTCTGTATTTGAAGACTTCTAAGGCTATCCAGTTGTCCTGAACTGAAACAAAACACCCCTCATATCTTCTTCTTCTCAGGTCACCATTCACTGCTACACTCTTCCCCTCCAGTACTTCGCACATGCCCTTCCACTGGGGGTCAGGGCTTCCAGGTCCTCCTTCGAGCAGGGTTCGGGCAGGAGGGGGCAGACAAGGAGACCCTTCATATGATAGAGCAGGAATGGTTTGATCCGGGAACACTTGGAGTGAATGGTAATGACCATTGGTCCAAAATCAAATCAATAACACTGCAGTATCATATGGGCAACTGAGTCCTCTCATGTAAACAACACTTTCATCTAGGAGACTAGAGGTCCTTCTGACTGACATCTAGTGTAAGGCTAAAAAGTTACAATAACATATATCTCTGAGGCCTAGGAAATATATGTGGCTTTAATGATACCATTAGTATGCTCTTATCCTTCACATCAAGGAAGTCAAGCAACATAATCTTCCATCACATGACTCACAAAAACCACCTAGACAGTCCCAAATGTCCAATATTTGCTGAGTGTGACACAGAAAAGACTTGAGATATCTAGTAAATGGCTTTGCTCTATACACATAACCTGGGTGTGTACTACCTGACCATAATTTGGGTGGTCCTTTTCCTCACCCTTAAGGTTAAGGTCAGAACAACCACTAGCGGAAATTTTGGCATGCGGCATGATACTTCAACAGACAGGAGTTCAACATGCACAACATTAAACCTCATCATAACATCTCTATATTAGATGAAGTGATGTCAATAAACAATGCCGTACTTTATATCTACATCAAGTATTAAAGATGTCTTGTTTTATTTGCTTACAATATGTTTTATCAAAAGTTGATATATCATATTAAAAACACAAACATGAAATAAAACCTTGAACTTATGTTGTCATAATGAATTTAACGAAGGTGATGATGATGAGGTATAATTATTGTCATTGATATCATGGTGATAAAAACACGGTAAAAACACCTATAAAAGTGGCGTTTGTGGTGATAAAAATAGCTGGAAGTATCAGACTTGTGAGGGTTATGTAGCCAGCTATTTCCCTGCCCTGGCCCTCCGCTGTGCAAACACTTCTTCCCGCCTACATTTGCGCGAACAAACACGCCGCCTGGCCTGCGAAATTGCCCTGGTAAACTCCAATACTGTCCAGAGCAAGCAAATCTTCCTGCCCGCCCCCCTCCCCACTCAAACACTTTCCATGAGTTGCACAACAGAATTTCCTCAACAAAATCCAGCACTAATTTTGCGGACAGTTTCGGTAACTGTGCCAACATTAATGCTTTTTGAGCCTTATAACGAATATTATAGGTACATAGAGGAAGACTGTGGCTTTTTTATTCATAGTGCAGACTCATAACATATAACATAACACTACCCCGACCTGAACGATATGTGAGAGGAACCCGGAAAACAACGTGAAGTCAGCTCCAAGACCGGTAACACATTCTTACCTGATCCTTCCACTCGACCGAGCGCCCGGCTCCAGACGATCTGTCTGGTCTCCAGCTTCACCTGGAAGGTCCTGTTCTCTGGCTTTCTCTTGTGGAAGAACTTTGTCAGCACCGTGCCGAGCTCCAGCGTCTTCAGGATCTTGTTCAGCTCTTGCCCGGTGAGCTCCTGTTCTGGGCTCGCTGTAGCGCCTTCCTCCCCCATAGTCCCATCGCCGGAGGGACCCTCCATGGATAGGGAGGACCCGCCCGTATACAACGACCCAGAGTGCGACATATCTACAGACGTAAGCTAAAATCTCTGCTGCACGCACAGACTCAACTCATGGGCCTAGATTTGCTGCAATGACCTGCCTTGATTACACTACTTGGAGCTCGATCTGTCTGCTGCTGAAAATGGCGAGACCGCTCAGTTCCGGGCCTGATTACCTATTCATCAACGGCGGCATCTGGTTGGTCAGTACGAATCAGCTGTTTGGCGGGAAAAGACTTTCAGTTTCTCTGCCAATCATCTGTCTTCTTTTGTCACTTACCTGTCTGGGCCCACGGGTACCCAGAAAAACAACAGGTGATCATTTAAGATGACTCATGAGCGAAAAAAGGGGGAAATACTTCTTGGAAATATCGGCTGACAGATGGTAAATGCCCCTGTGGCTTGGTTGTATCGATCCTCACGGAAGCCGTTGATTAAACAAGGAAATGATCCCAGCTAACGTTACCGCTTTGCGGAAACGAGGGCAATCTATGTGGAGCATTGATTACAAAATATTCAACTACGAACGCCTTGACCACTTTGGAGCGCAACAAATTATAAACGGATATTAGTACTAAAAATATAATTTAGTAATTGATTATTGATTTATTTCTACTTGAAACAGGTTATAATTAGCCACGGGCAGCCAGAGTAATAATAATTAAGGAGCCCATTTAATGATAAAACGGATGACACCCAGGCTTGGTTACAATACCGATCCCCCCCCCAAAAGTGGTCTGACTCTGACAGTCTATATTATACCATGCATTTATTAGCTTTCAATTAATTAATATATTGGATGAGCGTGTAGAATATTTGCATTGAGCTGTCATTATTATTCCAAATTTCTCCACGTGAGCAATTGATATCTGTCACATCCTAATATTTCACATGAAAATTTGTACTTTTTTCGTTCAGCCATGTGGAACGGCTGGCACATGTACAGTTTTCTAATTAATAATGTTAACTCGTATAATGATGTCACTCGTGAATATGTCACCTAGATCAGCATCCTTCTCTGCTCAATTTAAAGCCTACTTGCACCACCACTAGATAGAATTTCCACCAACGACAAAGCTCATGCGTAAATGTCATCCTTACAGCGGTGAATAGTACTGATAATCTCCAGCTCTCGAGCAACGTAAATCGGTACCGCTTCTAAAGCCGACTTCTCCCTGAATTGTATTCCCTATCATAAAGGGACCATGCCGAAAAAATATTCAATTCTCCACTCCTCGACTCTGCATCAGTGCAACTCAAATACGTGAACTTCTTTGAAGGTCATATGCATGGAGCTGATCTTGTAAAGGTTAAGCTATGTCACCTTTGCTATTTCAACTTAAAAAGTCAGTCCTCAATCAAATTCTCCCGAGCCAAAAATCAAAGGGCACTGTACGGTCTTTTAATCTGCCAATACCTGGTTATACGCGTGGCTAAGCGCGGTAGACTTGGCCTCAGTAATGCCAGCCGGCGGCTAGGATTAGGGGGGTTATGGTCGGTCGGAATCGTGAGTCGGAACGTGATGTTGCAGTTTCAAGTTTTGAGCAAATGTCATTCTGAGAACATTTCGCAGTCCATATTTTTTGTGTGCGTGTGTGTGTCGCGAGAGGAAGCTAGCCTCCGTAGCTGGCTTATAGACTGGGTGGAACTGGTGGTCTTCGGCTGTTTCAGAAAACGGGGCCGGTAATTCATAGCCTGGGTACCATCCTACTTGTATACCGGGGCTCCCA